TTAGCTCAGCTTCTAAGACAGCAAATTCCATCCCAGAAATATTCTGAGGAGTCAGGATAGAAAGAGAGAAAGGAGGAGAAGCAATAGCAAAGGCCAGGCTGGAAAAGGTGTTCCTAACTGCTGATTTCTCATCTTAATTTCTCCGCGGAATCTGACCTTTTGGCACATGTGGCCTCCCCTCCACCTTCGCACATGCCTGGCCTTCCTAAGAGGTGTGCAGAGGGCCTCTGAGAGCCTGGTCCGGAGCTGTGGTTCTAGCCACGTTCTGGGCTGTTTCTGTAGAAACGCTGGCGTGGTTTATGCAGCAGGTTTCCAGCAGCAGTGAGCTGTGATGAGATGAGAGGGGATTCAGTAGTGGGGGACTTGGGGACAGAAAGGGAGCAGGGCTGTGTGTCTGCCCACCCTGTTAAAGTAGGGGAAAGAAACTCCCAACCTGCTAAACGTTCATAACACCGAATCTGTGCTGTCCAAAATCGAGGCATGAATTCTGGGAACATCGGAGGTTAACAGTGGGAAGAATTTATTGAGAGGAAGAGGGAAGCAGGGGGCCCAGCAAGTGGGCTGTTCACCAACCCCACTTCTCAAGGGTGTTTTGGGCGAAGCTAGGAGGTGAGGCGGGTTCAAGGTGGGCAGAACTATAACCCACCGGTAAGATTACAAGTGTGGTCGCTTAGGGAAAGCACACAGTGGGTATGCGGTGGGACAGGACTGTGTGACTGTAGTGAACCAATAAGGTTACAAGTGTGGTCCCTGGCTAACTCTGATTAAATGGGGACCAAATTAAATGGACAGCAAGTCACATAGCAAGCACACGTGGCATGGACAAGGACTTGCCCAGAAGGGCTGGGTTAAGGAGGTCTGTCCTCCACCTCAAGGTGATTTATGTCTATTTAGAATGTCAATCACTGCTATTCATCCACAGGGGAAGTATATGAGGGACAACTGTGTCTTTTTGGAAGCCTGGCCTTCAGCGAATTCCCTCCAGCTACAGTTGTCTTTTCACTGACCTTTCCAGGGCTCAGCCCTGTCTGTCTGCCTCGAATACATCTCCCTAACTTAGCTGTCTGTAAGAGCTCTGTGCCCTGGTTTCAGAGGGGCAAACCCAGGCCCTTTGCCCACATTGGCAAGAGTCCTTTTTCTCTTCAAGAAGAAGGCTGGGGCCACTGTGCCTCTGTGGAGGGCTGAAGTACGAAGAGTTTTGTGTGGAGTCAAGGGAAAGAGCTGGCATCGAGTGCCAGCAGCCGTGTGGCTTAGGCCTGGAGATGGAGAAGACAGGAGTCTGGATCTGGCACAGAGTCATGCAGAGGAGGCTGCTTTGTGGCATAGACAGAGGTGACAGTTTTGGAGGTTTGCTGAGGCAAAACAAGATTGGGTCAAGGTGGATAAAGGCCCAATGAGAAGAGATGATGTGGGAGATGAGGATTTTATTCCAAATGATTTTTCAATAAAAGCCATCACAGAAGATGTTTAAGCAGAAGTCAGCGGTCTGATTTACATTCATAGGTCTTATTGGATTTTGGGTGGGCAGATGGTATATATGCATATCAGGATAGAAATGGAAGCAGGGACAGCCCTCAGGAAGCTGTTGCCAAGGAGGGAGGTTGGCCTGCACCAGAGGGGCAGTAGGGAAGGCATGGAAGGGGGTCCCCGGAGTGGCTAGGCTTAGGCGCACACATCTGAGGTGAAAAGCAGTGTAAGTTTGACTACTGTGGTTCTCTGGGCTTCAATTTCCTCTTCCAGAGATAAAACTGGATATGATGCACATGTGTGCAATCCCAGCAGTGGGGAGACTGAAGCAGGGGGATCCCTACGAGTTTGAAGCTAGCCTGGGCTTATATAGTGAGTGCAAAGCCATCCTGAACTATACAGGAGAGCTTGTCTCAAAAACCAAAGCAAAACAAAAACGCCTCCCTCTTCCAGAGATAACACATATTTCGAAGTTGTAGGTTGGCATAACTGACGCCATCTTGTGACCTGTATTTGACTCATGCTCTGTGTTTGACCCAGAACAGTGAAAACTTACTCAGGGTACAAATCCCATGAGAAAAGCAGAATGAGCTGTACCTACAAGAGAGAAAAATCAACCTGCTCAACAAAGAAGCAGGATACAGGTGTCAACCAAAACAAAAAATTTTTTTAAACAAATAATTTTTTTTTTTTGTCTTTTTCCTTTTTCTTTTTATCGGTACCAGGGATCAAACTCAGGACTGCCTGCTTGCAAGGCAGGCGCTTATGCTGCTGAGCTAAATCTCCAGTCCCAACCAAAAATTAATGTAAGATTCTAGCTGAATTGTTTCCAACAGGATGTCTTTTTGTGGCTTTCTGTTTTAAAAGCTCTGTAACTTTCCAGTTCAGTGCCACTCTTTTGGACTCTGAAAGGGGTCCATGGGTGGTCGCTGAGCTCAGCTAATAAAATTCCAAATTTATCAATTTGGCTGTTGGGTTCCTATATTGTACACGAACCCACTTCATAAAAGGGTAAGCTTGACAGGAATAATTTTACTTGATATTTTACATTTTAAATTTTTATTATAATAGATGACATATTGCCATTTATTCCCTTCAAAATATTCCTTCTTGCTTCAAACACATATAATGTTAGAGGGTTTTTTTCTCCAAACTATATTTACTCTCTATCCCAGTTTGGATTTGGCCCCAAACAGTTGGCCCCAAACTGAGATAGGATAGAAAGAATAAAGTTAGGTAGAAAGACAAGAAGGGGCTGGGGATTTAGCTCAGCGGATAAGTGCCTACCTTGCAAGCAGGCAGTTGTGAGTTCGAGCCCCGGAACCGATAAAAAGGAAAAAGACAAAAAAAAAAAAAAAAAAAAGAAGACAAGAAAATGCAAATTTAAAAATTATACTTTAAAAAAATTGCAGAACCCAAGCCCTGGTGTTTCGTTTTGTTTTTCCTTTTGTCTTCCAAAACACCAAACCTGGGAATTCTCTTTCAACTGCAAACAGGTCTGCCCACTCTCTTTTTCTTGCAAATGGTCCTCTTTGTCCTTTTTTGGGATTTCCCACTGGAGTAGACCTTTGTCTCACCAGGATTGGGCCATCCTGTTCCATCCACTAAAACTATAGATTATTGAATTCCGCAGATAGCCATCTCCCAAGATACATAAAAGACCCCAGTTCCAGCCTCACTGCTTTGAGCACCCCCATCTGCTCCAGAGTGTGTCCTATGCCTACCTCTAATAAAACCTTCTTATGCTCCTTTCACTGAACATGTCCTAAAAATTCTTTTTCCATGACAGGAGGCAGCAAACCTGCATAGTTACTTATTTTAAAGGGATGGGTTAAATTCCTTACGTCCCTCTTGGGACACTCAGACCCAGCCTGTGACTGAACTCAAAGTAATCCTCCTGCCTCAGCCTCCCAAGTGCTGGGATTACAGGCATGTGCTACCACCTCAGGTTAGACCTGGATTTGTTTTTTTTTATTTATTTTTTTATTTTTATTTTTTTATTTAAGAGGAAAAAGAGAAAAACACAAAACAAACCAAAGCGGTGTAAGGGTACACGTAATACAGAACTACAAAAAAAAAAAAAAAAAAAAAAAACAGTAAGAAATCACCTGTTAGTAGATTACATATTATCATCTTGAAAATAGTTCCTCAAATCACAGTATCAAAGAATACAAGGTGGACATTCAAACAGGGAGACTGCAAACAGCTGTGTTCAATGATCCAAAACCATTGATATAGTCAGCTATTTAACACCCCCAAACACACTTGCTGTTATATCCGTTAGAGCTCTTTTTCTTTTTTTTTTTCCCTCTCTTTTTTACAACAAAATTTACACATTTTGGATTTTATTACTCCTTAGTGCTTATTACTTTTGGGGGGGGGGAGAATACAGTCAAATATGGCAAAACAAAGCTGTCAGTCAATACCAAGGATAGACATAGCACATGGTGTAGAACAGAGTACAAGTTTATCAACAATGGTTATCAACGTTGTCCCTTGTTTCCTTAAAAAGAATTTAGACCTGGATTTGAATCAAGGTCTGGGAGGCATCCGTTGTGTGGCTTTATATAAATCAGTTACTATTAGATGGGCAGTTACCCAGGGCTTGCTGTGTGTGCCCCAACAGAATCCTCCCCAGATGTGGATTCCTATTCTTACTATTCCAGTCCAAGGGGAGGGCCCAGTACTGTGGCAACAAGTCATTTGCCTGGAATAGATAACTTTCTCATTATACTAGAGTTTCTGTGTCTAAACCCAACCAAGGTAATAATACTAACACTTCCCTGTGTGGTTAACTTCCCTGTGTGGTTAGAAGAGCACAAGAGGGGACTTGGCACATATCAGGTGCTTGTTCTTTTTTTTTTTTTTGTACTGGGGATTGAACTCACAACTTCACATTTGCCAGGCAGACGCTTGTACCACTGAGCTAAATTCCCAGTTTATCCAATTATTATATTGAGTTTCCCCAAATTTTTGTATGGAGCAGACATCATTTGAACAAATCCTTTAGATTAAAAAACAAAAATCTCTTAAACCGGACGTAGGGGTGGAGATAATAGAAGTTACCAGGTGGAGGCAGAAGGTCAGGCTGGGATACACAAGTTTAAGGACAGGCTGGACTACACAGCGAGCTCTCGTCTGAAAACAAACAGTTCCCCAAAGCCAAAACTTTGAATTCTTTTTGAGATAGGGTAGTTCAGGCTGGCCTAGAAATCGCAGTAATTCTCCTTCCTCATCCTCTCCAGGGCTAACATTACAGGCGCGCCGGAGCACGCCGGATTTAAACAAAACTCTTACACAGTGGTAAAGGGCGCGGGGCGCTAGGGGGCTGAGCACTGAGTTGGCGGGAGTTCTGCAGCTGCGGGACCCCGCAGCAGCTAGAGCGTGGCCAGAGAGGCGGGGCCCAGGTGGGCGGGCTGTGCAACAGGGCCAGGCGGGGACTCTGGAATTGAGGCTGGAGGCGGGTCTCGGGGCTCAGGGGCAGCCGGCCGCGCATGCTCGGTGCGGCCCTCTCGGGCTGCTGCCCCGCCCCCTGGGGCTCCAGCTGCGGCGGCCGCTGCACAGAGCAGGGCCGGCTGGGCGAGCGCGCGGCCATGGCCCCGTGGCTTCAGCTCTGCTCTGTCTTCTTCACTGTCAACGCCTGCCTCAACGGTTCCCAGCTGGCCGTGGCCGCGGGCGGCTCAGGCCGCGCGAGGGGCGCCGACACCTGCGGCTGGAGGGTAAGGCGAGGACCGCGGGTTCCTCGCGGTCTCCGGAGTCGAGCGCGGGGTCGTGGCGCACAGGTGCGCGGGCGGCGCCGCGCCGCGCTTGGGTGTCGCGGTCCTTGCCGCTGCCTCCCGGGGCGCGCGTTCGCCGCCGGCCGGGCGTGGGGGTCCGGCGGCCCCTGGCTTTGTGTTCGCTAGGAGGGCGCCGTGGGACGGGGGCGCGGCGCCCCACGCTTTGTTCCCGGGGCCGCGCCCCCCGACTGCGCGCCCTGGCCCGGGACCCCGAGCTGCCCGGGCGGGGGTCGCTGCGGTGAGGCTCTGTTCCCGGACCTCCAGCCCGCAGCAGCGCGAAGGCGTACCCCGTCCTGGGGTCGCTTTGTTCCTCCGGGCCGGGGCCGTCACCTCGCCCCCGACCGACTGGAGCTCCAGGCGGACGGGACTTCGCTGACTCCTTCGGCTTTCCTCGCGGATGCTCCGCGGGCTCCACCTCCCCCTCCGCCTCCCACCTGGAGTCAGGATGTTTTTAGCGGCCGGAGCAGCCAGAGTTTGGCACCTCAGCCACGAGCCCGAGGCGAGACAGAAGTCCAGACTTCTCGCCGTGAACTTGGGCTCCTCGCCCGGAACTGAGTGCTTCTCTGACGCTGTCCGGGGGACGGGCCGTGCAGTTGGGGAGCGCGGGGACGCTGCCGCCCTCCCTGGATCGACCACTGGGCTCGGCGGCCCCGGGTTCTGGAGAGTCCATCTTGCCGCCTGGTGCCTCTCTTAGGGGTTTGGGCTGCTTCGCCTCGGGACGCTTATGCCTTTCGCCCCGTGAAGAGAGCCTGGCAGCCAGAGACACTGCCTGGGCTCTACTCCTGGGAGCCTCAGTTTCCTCATCTGGAAAGTGGGAGGACGTGGAGTACATCCTGATTCCGCCTGGTCTGGGATGGTTGTGGGGTAGTTCGCGTAGGCTAAATTGATCTGCCTCTTGTAGGAGGCTCTAAATAGCCTTAGTAAGACAAGACCTAAGATAGGACACACTCTTGGGGACATAGGCTCGTGCTTCCAGCGCACTTGCCCCATAATTTAGAGAAACAGCACAGAAAGCCATATTTGAACCAAGCAGCTAGGATGCTTAGAGGCAGTAGCCGTATCCTGCTCCCTTCTCTCTGCCTTGTTGAATACTGTGACCTAAGGCTCTATCACTGTGCCGCTAGGGTGACATATCACATTTTCCCACTCTGTTCCACTGTAGTAAAGCATCATTAGTCTTTTTTGGTTTAATTTATGTCTTTGAGACAAGGTCTCACTATGTAGTTTGGCTGGCCTTGAACTTGCAGTGATCCTTCTGCCTCTGCCTCCTGAGTGCTGGGATTATAGGTGTGTGCCATCGCACCCAGTTTATATTTTTATTTAATGTATTTATTTTAAAGGGAATAAAGCAACAGTAAAATGAGCGATAAGACAGTAGGAAATCTACAATAGTTGTTGTTTCGCATATTGTCCTCTGAATAGTTGTCCAGACTATGGGTTTTAGACAGGCTCGCAGGTGGGCCTTAGCTGCCTTCCTGGTTCTCCCTGGCCTGTGCCCCAGCTGGCTCACAGGCTGGAGCATTGCTTGCATCCTGCTTCCCCCCATTCTGTGCACTGACTAGCTGAAGGAGGTGGGGAGTTTAGCTTCCTTTTTGGTTCTCCCTGGTCAGTGCTCAGGATAACTCACAGGGGAGGTGTCATTCCAGTTTATTTTTTATAGAGTGCACATTTTCTAGAGGCTGCCTGTTAGAATTTTGGACCTAGACTGAATTTGACTTTTGGTTATCTGTAGCATCACAACGGTTTTGTTCTCTTCACCTTTTCTCTTCCCTGGGACTGCACCCCTTCAGAATCGATGCCCCTCAACCCAGGCTCCTCAATGCTCCTGTACTTTCTTCCCTCCAACACCGCTCCTCATTTCAGGTGATCTCAACTGCACCTGTCTTGGCCTCACCAGTCTTTTTTTTTTTTTTTTTTTTTTTGGTACCAAGGATCGAACTCACCACCTGGAGCACGCCAGGCAAATGCTTACACCACTAAGCTAAATCCCCAGCCCTTCACCAGTCTTCTCTATGGGTCATTTTCATCATCTTCCTGGATGAGCGTGGGGGCTGCTGGGCCAGATTCCAGGCTTTTCCCAACCTGGAGCTGCAGGCTGATACATCATATGGACCCATTTACCCACTCTTCTTTCATCCCTGCACCCCCCACTTTGCCAGCCTCAACCAGTCCCACCCTCTCCGCTCCCTCCCCACCTTTTGTGCTGTCACCTCCTGTTTTCCCCTCCTCTTGGGGTGCCTTTTCCTCTCCTGAGAACCTCCTGCCTGGCCTCAGCTCTAGTGACCCCACAGGGAAGTTCTCCCAGATTGCCCTTCCCTTTCTCATAAACAGGGCCTTGCACTTCAGTCCTTCAGTCCTCACTAGACTATGTAGCTGGTATGTGTGCTGCCCTCTCTTTAGTTTCTTGATAGTGTCAGAGCCTGGAGCCCTGTACATCTTGTGTGAGCGCAATTAAATCCTACGACCCTCCTGTTAAATCCAGTATTAAGTGATAGATTTTAAGTGGGGTGAGAGATCTCAGCACCCTGCCTCCTGTGTCAGCTTCACAGTAGGCCTTTGCACATGCTGCTCCAGCCTTTGTTCCTTCTCTTTCCACCTCCTCAGCTTCACCCTCTGCTCTAGTATCCCTTCCTGCAAGGAGCCTACCCTGCTGCCCATCCCAGATGTTGCTTTGTCTTCTGTCTCCAGTAAGCATAGGTATACAAGAACTTGGGTTTTTGGATATCTAGTTCCCTGACCATACAGCAGATACTCAATGTGGCTGTTGGCTTCAGCTCAGAGGTTGCTTTCAGTTGAGTTGTGTATGTACAAACATACCAAGAATAAGGGTTGATTATGTGTAATGCACCCATAGGAGAGGGCTTCTTATGGATCGAAGTTTCACTCAAAACCTGAGTGTGATTGCAGGGTGCAGAAGCAAGCCCTGAAGGAGGGGCAGGACTTGGGTGCTGGAAGAGCAGCTGTGCAGAGGACCCCTTGATCTCCAGGAAGCGCTTGTTCCAGGAGCCCTTTCCTCTGTAGGAAGGGTTTTTTCCCAGGACTTGTGAGGTGATTGCCGTCCCCATCCCCCAGGCTGCTCTGCAAACAGACCCTTCAAAGCTGCTCTCAGAGGAGCTGGGAGCTGGCTTGGTTTAAGTAGTCAGGTTTCACGACCTCCCCATTATTTGTGGGGCAATTAAGAGACTGATACTATCTTGAACACAGCTCAGTGCTTTAGAAATGAGTTGTGAGCACACTTCCTTAACCCACAGAAGAGAAAATCTCTTATGGCCCTTGCCAGGTAAAGTTGCTTTTTGAATAATAAATACTGTTTGTTCCAAGAAAGCAACAATTTGCTGGCCCCCTCGTTTTTACTGGCTCTTAACCCTTGCTTCTTGAAAGCAGAATGTTTTTGTTTGTGATGTGTCACTTTAATTATGTCAGTCACTCGCCCTGAGATTCCTGGTCACCACTCTCCTCTTCCGAGACAGCCTTGTCTGGCTGAGAAGCCTATTTATGGAACAAGGAGTTAGGAATCCACTTCTTGGAGTTTTAGTGGGTGGCTTTTCCTGCATTTGGGAAGGAAGGGACATTTCTTGCTCCTTACCTAAAATGGGGTATACCTTCCCTGGTCTGTTATGCCTGAATTACAATTTCTATGCCCCCCCTCCCCCAAAGCTGAACCTTCAGCAGCTCAGGAAGACAGAATGCTGGCACCCTCTTTACAATGAAGTGCAAGCTTCCCATTTAAGGCAAATATTTCATCTCAAAAGGTAGGGAGAAATAGGGTGGTACTTGGAAAAAAAGAAGTTCCAGCTGGTTAAAATTTAGACTCCTGATGAAAGTCCAGCCCAGGAATTGTGCTTGGCCGTGGGCCCGGGGCGTGCTTGTTTGGTTCTGAATTGGATGGTTTTCATTCACTTGCAGCACTGGCTCCCCATCCCATGTCTGTTCTGCCTGTTCCCTGGCCACGTGTCCATTTACAGATGCTCTTGTGTCCCTTGCTGAATTCTTGGCTAAAAATTATTCAGCCATGCATTGATTGCTACATTTTTCAGAGACATCTTTATAAGAGATATATAATGCTTTCTTCCAGCTTGTTTTTCATAGTTAATTTGAACCCATCCTGGCTTATATCCATCTTTCTTGGGGAGCCCTCCCTCGCTGTCTGTATCTGTCCACCCCCAAATCCCTGCAGTACCTGGAGCATCTCACAACTTTTTTTTTTTTTTTTTTTTTTTTTTGCAGACAGGGTATAGTTCAGACTGGCCTTGAACTCACCATGGTAGCCCAGGCAGGCAGTCCTCCTGCCTGTGCCTTCTAAGTGCTAGGATTACAGGTGTGCACTAATATGCCTCACTTGTACTGCTTATTAATTTGGGAAACAACTGCATGAATGAAACTGAGTACCACTTACTGTATTTTTTTTTCCCAAAAGTCTTTTTCAAAGTGATATACCGTGGTTTCCAGTGTCAAAATTGCCTTGGGAGCTTACTGAGATGCAGATTGAAGGGTAGTGGGACTAGCATGAGAGTGAGACAGAACCCCGTAAGTGGCATTTTAAGAAGTTTTAGAGGATTCTGATGCTGTCTCAGTTTTGAGAACTGTACCTTTAGGAGACAGAACTTCCCTAATCAGGAGTAGGGGAGAGAAAACGCATTGTTTATAATCTCTCAGAATTCTGTAGAGTTCAGTGGAGACTTTGTTAGAACCCTGACAAATAAAAGGGGTCCGCCTGGCCAGGAGGGAGGAGGAGAACCCTGGCTTGGGTGGGAAGGGCTGGGGCTAAAGAGGAGGCCTGGAGTGGGGAACCTTACACTTCCACGGCTTCCTCTCCAGGCAGCTGGGCTCGGCTGTAACAGTGTCCCCTGAGAGCTGGAGCAGAATCCAAATCTGAATCTGAGCAGCTCAAACCTTGTGACAACAGTTTTCCTACAAAGGAAATAACTACTAATGCTTTTCTA